GCTAGAGGCCGCAGCGCCGCGGGGGCCCCGGAGCAAGAGCGGCGGGGCACGGGGCGCGCGGGCGCCGGGTCACCATGAGGACTCTCCGCAGGTTGAAGTTCATGAGTTCGCCCAGCCTCAGAGACCTGGGCAAGAGAGAGCCGGCCGCCAGCGGCGCGGACGAACGGGGCACGCAGCAGCGCCGGGCCTGCGCCAACGCCACCTGGAACAGGTAAGGCCGCGCCCTCCGGCCGCGCGGGGACCCCGAGCCCGGGACAGGGCACCCCGGGCCGGGCCGCGCCACCGCCGCCGCGCGCCCAGAAGTTGCTCCGCGCTGGAGTTGTGCGGGCGGGCGGGAAGTTAGTGCGACGTGTTTCTAGGACGCGGCACGAGGTTGCGCCCTCCCAGGGCCAGGGGTGCGCGCCGACCCCACCCGGCTCCCCGCCCCTCGGCCGCAGCCCGCGACACCTGGGCCGGGCCGAGCAGGAAGTATCTGTCCGCTCCTCGGTGGAGCCAGGGCCGCGCGGGCTCGGGGGTGGGTGGCCGCGCCGCTTCCTGTCGCCCGGCTGAGGTCCCCTTGGCGAGGTGGGCGGCTGGCTTTCCCCGCGCGGCCCCCTGTGCGGCGCAGCTGTCGGCATTCCTGCAGGCCCCTCCCCGGCCGGGTCCGGGAGGGATCTCCGTCGGAGCGTGGGAAGACCCTCCCCCAGCTTTGTTCAAGGAGCATGGCCGAGATCCAGAGAAAGGCTGACTGTAGTGGGGTCCTGGGGGTGGGCGCGTGGGCTCCTGAGCCCTTCCAAAAAGGGACCTTTCCACTGGTGGGGAAAATTGGGGGTAGGAGGACCAGGAGTGATCGGACTGTTGGGAGGGAGGCCGTGGGTCCCAGCAGCTGCCACCCTGGCTGTGGCCTTGGCCTCCTGGAACCCTCTTCTGTCCGCTGCTTCGTGATGGGCACCCTTCTAGGCAGACCAAGCAGAATGAGCCTGCACTGGTTTCCCTAACTGTCGGTGGGCGTGAACATTCCCCCAGAGGAGAATTAGTTACTTAAAAATCATTTCAAGTGGAAACACTGAGGTGACAGACTGTCCCCGCCACGTGCGGCTCAGGGTAAAGAGCCCACAGACTTGGTTCAAATCGCCCCTCTCTCCACACTCCTTGCTGTGTGATCCTGAGCAAGTCACCCAGCCTCTCTGGTCCCGTGTCCTCGTGCAGTGCAGTGTATTCCAACTCGTAGCTGCTCAGGTGTTTCCAATGGCCACGATCTTTAAGTAGTAGACTGCCAGGCCTTTCTTCCAAGGTGCTCCCTGGGTAGACTTGAACTTTTTGCTTTGTGGCTGATGACTTAACTGCACCAAGTCAAAGCACCTTTTTGGTCCATAACAGAGGCTGATAATGGGGCCTCCTCACAGATGTGCCCGGGAGCACTCAGCAGGGTTCTCCTAGAATGGCAGGAGCCCCCTGACTATTGACTGGTGTGTAGGCCTCACAGACGGGGTGCCCTCCCACACCGCAACTGCAGTCTCCTGCAGTGAGGGCTCATCTGGCTCAGAAAGCTCCCACCATGTGGCCCCTGTGGGGCCTCGGGGCGTGCTCTGGGCCTAGCTGTCTTCCCGGAGCTCAGGAAGGTGCACTGCTGGAAGAATGTCACCCGAGCCTCCATTTAGAGCTTTAGCGCCCATGGGGGAGCCCGTCTGCCCCCACAACACCTGCATGCTACGATCTTCTGGGCCCACATCAGCCTGGGACCCTCCTCTCTTGCCCTCCTTCTATGCAGCAGACTCCAAGCCAGGCCCTCCTGGTCACCCTCCATTCAGTTCTGAGGCTGTAAATCTTTACAAGAGCAGATTTCCTCTTGGTTCATGGAGCAGCTGGTGGATTCAAACCCCCAGCTTTTCAATTAGAAGCGCAACACTTAAACCCCTGCAACAACGGAAGGGTAGGATGAAGCAGACCCTTGATGTGCCTTCTGGGCTGCTGTGGGGGCAGAACCAAGCAAGGAGTCCGGAGCAGAAAACATGGGGACCAGTGGGGACCCTGATCTCTCCCTGCCACTCTCTCTGCTGGGATGTAGCCAGGATCCCCCAAGGACAACGGCCTGCTGCCACAGCGGTGCCTCCTTGCAAGTCCAGGCCCAGGCCTGCTCAGCTGTGAATGCCTCGTTTTGAGTGCAAACTGCACCCACACTTCTGTGTGTGGCCCCGAATGTGTCTCTAAACCTCCTGAGCCTATGTCTTCCTCACTTGGGGGGTGGGGGCCTGGGAGTGCGAGTGGGGGGCCTGGGGGAGGGAGTGGGGACTGATCTTGTAGATCACGCACCTCCCTGCGTACTAAGAAATGTGCCGAGGCGTTGGTGTTCCAGCCATTCATTAATCGAGGGGACGTGTGCCCCCGTTAGTCGTTCATTCAAGATGTGTACACGCAGCACACCCGTCACACATGCCAGGGGCCAAGCTAAGCCCGGAGACGGGGATGAGCAGACAGCCTCCGGAACTCACAGGTCACGCAGGGAGCAGTTCACGGTGGAGGTAACTGCAGGTCGAGGCAGTGAACGAAGGGGCTGTGGGTTCAGGTGCTGCTGGCCACACATCAGCTGGCTGCCCCAGCCGGTGGCAGCGCTCACAGTGGTGGGCATGAGCTGCATGGCCACTGAGCAAACCTCAGACATAAAGTCCTAAAAGACTCCTGAGTATACGGTACTTATCACTGAGCGTGTCTGCCTCTCTGGATTTGGGCCCGGCCTTGCTGGGGGCTGAAGCTGCCGAGAGGTGAACAGAATCCCCCCCACATGGGCCCCAAAGACTCACTCGCCACCCCCACCCGTACCCACACCCTGTATCCGGTCGTAGCCCCCAGGACCTGTGCTCCCACGCTCCTCTCCCAGCAGCCCCAGTTACCCCACTAGTCTGACCGCCGGGCCTGACCAGAGGCTCTCTGAAGGCCATCTCCTTGAGCTGAGATGCTGTGTTGTGACCTCCCACCGTGTCTGGCAGGAGGAGGAGGTGGGCACGGGGTCTCTGCAGGCTCGCTGTTTTCTGGGCTGAGCCAGCGTGGAGAACTGAGGACTTGAGGCCACATGGCCGGAGCTGGAGGCCCAGGCAGCTGCTGTGGGTGGGCGGTTGGAACATCTGGAGGTACAGGGAGGCCCAGGCTGGGGCGGGAGGCTCCTGACCCTCTGACTGGAGCCCATCCTCCTGCTGGGCCCCCAGAAGGCTCTGTCCTCACCCCACCCCCTGGCCCAGCCTTTGGGCCTTGCCATGGGGCCTCTGCCTCCTAACAGAAGTGTGTTCCCCATCTACTCCCACCCACATACCCAGGCCCCAGGACTCTGGGAAAATGCCCAAGATCCAGGGTCCCCAAGGTTACTTGGGAAGGCAGTGGGACAGTAAACCTGGGTCAGACCTCGGCTGTGTCTGCAGACCTCCAGTGAGAGGGAGGGATGGAGCCCACCAGCCCCACGCTGCAGGCCACTGACATAGTTTCCTTGGCCCTACGCTGGGCTGGTGTGTGTGGACAAGCAGGGCACACCCTTCCCAGCGTCCCACATCCCCCACGGCTGGAGGCTCCAGGGCTGGGGGCCCCAGCGGGGAAGGGCAGGGAAAAGAGACCTGGGGCCCACCCAGCTCATGAACCCCACACATCGGCCTCCAACGCAGGATCATTGTCTTTTATTTGAGATGGGGAGACTGAGGCAGGGGCAGGCATGCTGTAGGGAGCTGACCATGCCTAGTGTGGGAGAGGGGAGCAGACCCCAGGTCCCATACAGGACACGCCTGTGTCCCTGCTGGGCCCCGGCTGTGGCGGGCATCCGTGCTAGCTGGGCTTCCGTAGCTGTGGCCGTCCTGACGTGGGTCACGGTTTCCTGCTGCCATCTCATTGACTCCAGTTCATAGCCCCCTCCATTCGGGTCCCTCCACTGGGTGTCCCTCCACTGTGGAGGGGGGCAGGCTGTAGATCTTCACTGTAAGGTTCACAGAGCAGGAACCCAACTTGTCTGCGCCTCCTCATCCTGGACAGGAGCTGGCTGGAACGGTGGTCACTGCAGCCCTGGCCCCCAGCCACGCTGTGAAGGGCCTGTGAGTGCCCTGTGACGGGGATGGCAGAGCAGCCTCACACCCTTCCCTGCACCAGGAAATAGCCAAACGCAGATGCAAGTTAGTGCCTTTCATCCGGCTCCAACCTCACGGGGGCTACAGTACACCCATTTTGCAGATGAGAAGACTGAGGCTCAAAGGTGAAGCCTGAGAGTGCCTGTTTGAGCCCAGGCTGAGCTCTAGGGCCTCCCTTTCTGCCATGACCTCCCTGGGTCTCTAACCAACAAGAAAGGAGCTATGATGGTGTAGAGGTTAAGGACCTGGATGTTAATCAAATAGCCAGTGCCTTGAACCCACCCTGTGGTGCCCCAGGAGTGCGGCCTGGCGACCTGCTTACAGAAGAAAAACACGTTGCTGTGCATCCTTCTAACTCATAATGATGCCACAGGACTCTTAGGACTGCTGTCCTCAAGGAGCTGCCCTGCTGACCACAGGCCGCATGTCTCTGGCAGTTCAAGTCCACTCTCCACATTAGGGAGCCCTGTTGGCTTGTTAGGTGTCGTCGAGCTGAGTACACTCACAGTGACCCAGCGAACAGCAGATCTGAGTGCTGTCCTGTCCTGCGCTGTCCTCGTCATCCCCGACACTCTTGAGCCTGTTGCTGCAGCCCTGGTGTCAGTCCACCTGGTTGAGGGTCTTCCTGTCCCTTCACCTCTCCCAGCATGCTGTCCCTCTCCAAGGAGCAGCCTCTCCCAGCAACACGACTAAAGTACGTGAGACGAAGCTTCGTCATCTTCGCCCCCACGGAGCGCTGTAGCACCACAGTTCAAAGACATCAGCTCTTCTCTTGTCGTCCTCGGCCACCGTCCAGCTCTCAGATGCAGAGCAAGTAAGGCACCTGGCGGCCAACTGGTAAGGAATTGCCCTCCCAAGACAAAGGTCTGTGGTTCGAATCCACTGGCTGCTCCTTGGAAGTAAGATGGGGCGTCTCCTCCCTTTCAATTTACAGCTTCTGAAAACCCGCTGGAGGGTCAGCTGTGAGTCGGTTCTGACTTGATACTAAACAACAACAACATCTACTCAGAGGAGAATGGACAGCCTCTTCCTATGTGATTTACAGCCTCTGAAAACCCACTGGAGGGTCAGCTGTGGATCAGTTCCGACTCAACGGCAATGAGATTGACGGTGCAGGACAGCTCCAAGC